ATGTATTTGGGCACAAGCTTACGTGCACGGCTTTTCGGTAAGTTGAGGTTCTTGGTGGATAGGTACAGTGGCACCCCTACATCATACGGGATTTCTTCCCGTCGGTCTTTGTTGGCTTGATGCGTTGCATGTACTTGGTATTCGATGATTGAATCGTGCGCCAGCGTTATGCACGCCAATGCATTGTCAATGAAGTCTCATACTCCAGGGAACTCTGTGGCTTCCGCAGAGATATTATTCATAGGCGGTACATACCCATAGTTCAATTCAAAGGGAGCATAGCCCATCGCAGCACTCAGGCTGGAGTTAATCGCAAACTCTACCATAGGTACATGATATGCCCAGTCCCGCTGATCCGTAGCCACCATCGAGCACAATATCTGGGAAACATTGCGTATTGCGCGCTCTGATGCACCGTCTGTTTGTGGGTGAAATGATGTTGACATCATGATTTTTGAACCGGTGAGCCTGTGCAATTCTCTCTAAAATTTCGCCGTAAATTTTGAGTTGCGGTCAGATACGATTGATTGTGGGATTCCGTGTAGTCGGACTACATTGCGGACGTACAGCCATGCCACATCAGAGGATGTGTCGGTCACCTTCATCGGAGTGAGTGATATCATGTTCGTTAGCCGGCAAATTACTACGAGCATATAGTTGTATCCCAAATAATTGGGAAAGGGCCCGACAAAATCCATCCCTATGGAGTCCCAAGGGTGTTGAGGCACTGGGAGCGAATGTAGCAGGCCCACGGGGGCCTGTGTGCTTGGCTTCGACATACTGCACGTCCCACATGTCGTGCAGAATTTTTCGATTTGCGATCCAATTTTCGGCCACCAGTACCACCTCCTGACATATTCCGAGGTGTGTAGTGGTCCAAGGTGGCCCAGGGTCTTGTGCACTTGATCTATAACCAGCTCAGGGAGCAGGCGCGGTCTGCCAATGCCCTTCGTCCGTGGTATGCACAAGCACAAGCATTGAGCGCCAGTCGCCATCATTATATATAGCAAGCCACCCTCCATCGTGAAGGTGGGGTATTGCTCTGGGTTCACAACAATTTTTGCGAACAAGGCATTGTTCTTGTATCCGGCGATGACGCTGGGTAGGAACGAAGTATCACCATGAACTATGGTGTCTAAGGGTGGGTCTGCGGCTATTGCGTCCCCCAAAGATATGGCAGACATGTCGAACCCTTGCTCGTTCAGCGCAATAGCGTGGTGCTCGAGCTCCTCAGCCTCAAGGACTCGGTCTTCAACTACATTGTTGACTTGTTTCGCAAATAGTTGCGTTGGATAATTGGTGAGCTCGTCCATTCGTAGTCTCTCCATATCTTCGAGGTCTGGGTCTAGGCGAAAGTCAGCCGTCACGTAGGTCTCAGGGGAATGGTGCTCGTCGGGTCGGTCATTCTCGTAGTAATGTGAGAGGCAGTCCGCAAGCTTGTCGCGAGTCCCTTCGACGTGAAATACTTCGAAGTCGAATCTGGATAAGTATTCATCCCAACATATGAGGTGTCCGTTAATACTACTCCTTGCAGCCGTTTTTATGGCCTCCAGTGCTTTGTGATCGGACGCGACCATAATTTTTCGTCCAAGTAATTTGTCCTCCCATTTAAGGAGGCCTTCAATGATTGCTAACGCCTCCTGCTCATATGTCTTATATAAACGTTGCGCAGAGGTAAACTTTCGTGACATAAATCCTGCTGGTCGGCAGTTCTCCCAGGAAGGACCTTGGCCATATAGTGCGCCTACACCACATACCAACGCATCACAGATGAGCCAGATCGGATCCGGATTGCTCATGTTGATGGGCTTTAAAATGGGCGTGTGGCATGCAATCATCTTGATCTAGTCAAGACAATGTTGGTGGAAAGGGCACCATGTGAACGGAACTCCTCCCCTGAGATTGATTCCAATGGGGAAGTGAGGTGAGCCACATCTGGCATAAAATTGGCCAGGTACTGAACCAAACCCAGGAACCGTAAGACTTCCTGTTGGGATCGTGGTGTACACCAGTCTAGGATCCACCCCATCTTGTCGCTGTTGACATGGAGGCCTTGGTCTGTGATTCTGTGGCCCAAGCAATCCATGTTTTTGGAGTAGAGGTTGCACTTGCTTTTGCTAAGGTAGAGGTGTTCGGTACGTAACCGATCAAATACGAGCGCGAGGTGTTTCTTGTGGTCCTCCACAGAATTGGAGAATACAAATATATCATCGAGGTAGACATGGATAAATTCCCCAATTACATCCCTGAATATCCATGTCATAAGCCGCTGAAAGGTCGCAGGCACGTTACAGTCGCCTTGCTGCATGACATGTGATACTGCCGTGCCAAAAGTAGTGGCAAAGGCCGTTTTCCAAACGTCGCCTGCTTTGACGTGTATCTGCTCATACGCATTGGACATGTCTATTTTTGAGCGGAATTTCGCCCTTGCTACGTCCATACATATGTTGTCTTGGTCAGGAAAAGGAGTAATGTCTTTAATCGTATTATCATTACGCTTACGTGCATCCACTACCGTGCGCAGGTTGCCGCTCTTTTTATGAATGCAGAGCAACAGGGCAGCCTGTGGTATGGGTTGCATTTCCCACCAGCCTGCCTGGACGTATCTATCGATCTTGCCGCGTAGTTGAGGCTGTAGCGCGTCCGAGCAACGCGGCATGTGATGGTTATATACGAGGTCATCGTCAACCAAATTTATTTCATGGTTTATTTCTCGAAATGGAGGTAGTGTGGCTGGTATAGGCCCCATCAGGTCCGCGCATTTGGTGAACCAGCGTGCTCGATATTTCTCGAGCCTATCCGGGGCTTGAACAGGCGAGGGCCCGTTATTCATGTCCTGTACGCGGTTCTGGTGATCGTCGTAGCTAATGGCCATTAACTGAACGGCCTCGTCGAATGCCTCCTCGTTAATCCCAAATTGGTAGTCCTCATTAGTAAGAGACACCCGCCGATTAGATGAGTGGGTGGTTATCCTGGATCGTACCATCAACCCAGGCATGTCTGCCGTGCGTTCTGTACGGGGTTCTGGGTCCTCCGCCCGAGAATGGTTTATTTGGAATCTCAAGGCGGCCTTCGCTTCACCGTTGGCATCGCATTCAGCGCAGCGTTGTTCCTCTGGCCAGTCCAGATGGTCATCCTCCACATCGTAGTCAATGTGGTAGTCAGCCGCATCATCGACGGGGGTGGCGTTGTGGGGCTCCCACATGCGCTGTGTATGCCCCAGCGGATACGACGGACCAGACGCGACACCTCTACACTCCATATACCCCTCACACGTCCAACAAACACACACCAGGCCGCCGCAGTCTGTATCGAGCGACATTCGTCGCGGGCTGTATCGCGCGACAAGTACGCGGGCCTTCACGTCCTGTTCATGCTGCGTGTTGGTGGCGCCTGTGCGGTCCAGCGGGGTGGTGCTTGGGTCATAAAGAGGGCGTACTGTTAGTGTGTCTGTCGCAGTCGTATTGCGCGGGATCCGTCGCAGTCTGTATCGCACGGCGAGACGACGCGGGCCTCCACGTCCACTACATGCCGATGATGTGTGCAGGCCGGGGCGCCACGAGCAGCGATGAACGATGTGCAGGGGGAACATCGTGTCGTTGTCGAGTTGCGAAAGACGCCAGCCACGTCCGCGCACTGCGTCGTTTTCTGCAACTTCCTTCCTGTATGTACTATGGATAGTTGCTGACGACCATTGCGTATAATGTATGATACAGTTTTTATGAGTCTTCGCCCGTTCCGTCCTCCCACCGGAATGTGAAATTATTAGATGGAATTTTGAGCTGGTTTATCGAAGGACCAATCAACTGGAATAAAGGTCGGTGGCGCTGGGGAGAGCATCTGCCTAGTGCCCCGTTACGAAAAAAAAGAACGGTTGATATTATTGCGATGCACTGTTGTTGAATGCCCGCTTTGTCTGAATATTAATCTCAATGGCAAAGGAGATCAGGGACTTGGAGTTGACCTGGAGTTGACTTGTTGGATAGTGGCTGAATTTAGGAACGTCGTGTTGCTTCATTCATGGACCAATTATTTGGGATAAGGCTCGGTGGCGCTGAGGAGCGCGTCTGCATTTGTTTCGTCAACCGTGGAGAAGGTATTCTGCAGAAGGTGTCCGTTCGACTCAAGCCCGATCCATGCTTCGCCGTCCTGTACAATTTTTGTTTTACCCGACAAATTCATGTGGCGTTGTCGGGATGCTTCGGTGGTGCGTTCTTGTTGAATGGCGGCTTTGTCTAAATATTAGTCTCAATTTAAATGTGAAATGGCAAGAAAATGAGACCTGAGGAGAATCGCGGGATATTAGGGGAATTTCGGAATTTCGTGGTGCTTTATTCATGGACCAATTATTTGGGATAAGGCTCGGTAGCGCTGGGGAGCGCATCTGCATCTGTTGTGGCGAGCCCTTCAAAGTAATGCAGAAGATGCCCGTTCAACTCGGGTCTGAGCCATTACATTGGTTCTGCACCGGTTTTTTTTTTTCTGTCCTCTGATTATCCCTCCCTTGGACGGACAATGGGAATAAGCGTTGATGTCGGAAAGATATGAACATTTACCGCGCCTACTTAGGCGCCTGGGATGAACCAGGGCGTAGCGGCGCGGAAGAGGTGTGATGGGTTGAAATTCGGAGTCTCACATCACCCGCGAAATTTCGTGGTGGTTTATCCGAGGACTAATTATTTGGGATGGGGCTCGGTGGCGGCGCTGGGGAGCGCGTTGCACTCCGTTAATCGTCTTTACGATAATGCCGAATGTCCCCGTTCGACTCGGGTCTGAGTCATATGTCTGATACCTGCTATCTTTTTATTTTATTTTATTTGATGCCGCGAATATCTCTCCCTGGCTGCAATTTCATCAACCAGCAGGAAGAGCGAAAAAAATCTGGTGAGCCAGGGATAGGCATTTCGGCACAGGTCGAGCGGTGGGTTGAATCTCCCGAAAAATAAAATCAGAGCTGAAATGCGTGACTGGTTTAAGCAAAGACCAATTGTGTGCTACAAGGCTTGGTAGCGCTGGGAGCGCGTCTGCCTCTGCTGCAGTATCAACTATCTTGTAATGCAGAAGAAGCCCGTTCAACTCGGGCCTGAGCCATAGCAACTCCGCTGAGTCCCTTTTTTTTGGTTGCCGTGAATTTCCTTGGTTGCACGTCCCCCCCCCAGCAGGAAGTTTGAGTTCCAAAAAAATACTGGCCCAGGTGGGGTAAGAATGTATTTATTTACCTTGGTGCCGGAGGTACCACTGGTTGAAGCCTGGGTTGAATCCCCCAGAAGATAAATTAGAAGTGGAATGTGAGGTGGTTTATCGAAGCACTAAATAGGTGGTACAAGGCTTGGTAGCGCTGGGAGCGCGTCTGTATCTGCTATCGACTTTCTTTGTCCTGGACGAATGCAGAAGGTGCCCGTTCGACTCGGGCCCGAGCCATGCGGCCGTCGGAGTACCAGTTTTTTTTTGTCCTAGATATCTCCCCGGCTTCCCTTTTCAAAATTCACACAAGAACACAAATGAAAGAATATTCCGGCACCTGAAAAGAAGAAATTGATTCGCACAGGCTGAACTTTGAGCGAAATAGGTACTTCGTAGGCCCGGGGCACAGGTTGGTCGAACAATATAATAGCTGCTCTGTGCCAGTGAACTGTGTAATTTTGTGTTCAATTTGTGTTGGCTTATTCACGGACTAGATAGGTGGGATAAGGCTCGGTAGCGCTGAGGAGCGCACCTGCATCCCGTGGGTTCTGTTTCGTGACTTCCCGTAATGCAGAAGGTGCCCGTTCGACTCGGGCCTGAGCCACTAGTAAGCTGTCTGTAGGTGAATTTTTTTCCCCGGGTTTGATATTCCTTGAAAAAAATCTTAACAAGGTCCATGCAATGTCTCCAGATATATTGTGAACTGAATGGTCTTCTACAGAATCAAATTCAATATTGAACTCGAACTGTACTGCTTTATCCAAGGGACAACCATGTGGAATAAGGCTCGGTAGCACTGGGGAACGCATCTGCATCTGTTGTCTGGAGTGGGTTGTCGTTGACGTAATGCAGAAAGGACCCGTTCGACTCGGGTCTGAGCCATATCTTGGGTGATTTGCGATCTTTTTATTTTATTTCAAAGGTTTTTTTTTTTTGATGCCGCAACTATCTCTCCCTAGCTGCACCTTGACCAACCAGCAGGAAGGGCGAAAAAATCTGGTGCGGTAGGGATAAGCACTTACCAAGCCCGGGTACATGTCGAGAATCTCCCGAAACATAAAATCAGAGCTGAAATGTGTGACTGGTTTAAACAAAGACTAATTGTGTGCTACAAGGCTCGGTAGCGCTGGGAGCGCGTCTGCCTCTGCCGCAGCGCCCACCATCTTGTAATGCAGAAGGTGCCCGTTCGACTCGGGCCTGAGCCTAGTCTCTCCTAGACAGACGCTACAACCATTGAAGCTCGTACCTCGCATGTTGTAGTCTGTTGATTACCTTGATCGGTTGATTGGTGCCCAACGTTATCACATAATCATCGGAGTTTGAAATCTCAATACAAACGCGCGCTGTGCCCTCTTTGTTATGATTAAACCCTAAAAACTCGTCCAGAGAGCCTGGTGAGTCATTCAATATGTTCTATGCATGTATGATATTTTTCTGAGCTCGCTACATACATCTGAAGTTTTGCGACGCGCTTGTGGGAGCCATCAGCTTTCGGCGGTTTCCGTGGGCTCAATGTTTTCAGCACTTGTTGGGAGGATTAGCAAAAATCTGAGGAGACTGGATGTTTAATACATGTCTGAAAGCCTCAATTCTCCAAAAGAATCACATTTTACGAAGTCTGTGTTGCGAAACCGACGCGACGAAATTTTAAAGTCCGACGATTGTATAATAAGGGCGGACACCAATCACCCGGGGCGTGGTAAACTACAGACTAGGCCTGAGCCATAGCACTGCGTTTGGATCCCCCCTTTTTTTTGTTGGCGTGAATTCCCTTGGTGGCACTTCACCGGCACCCCCCAGCATGAATTTTAAGTTCCAAAAAAATCTGGTGGGGTAAGAATACATTTACCTTCGTGCCGGCTGGAGGTATCACTGGTTGAAGCCTAGGTTGAATCCCCCAGAATATAAAATTAGAACTGGAATGTGAGGAGGCTTATCGAAGGCCTAAATAGGTGGTACAAGGCTTGGTGGCGCTGGGAGCGCGTCTGCATCTACTGTCGTTGCTTCGGTGTCCATGACGAATGCAGAAGGTGCCCGTTCGACTCGGGCCTGAGCCATACCTCCGTCAGCTCTGAATTCAATTTTTTTCTCAAGTTTGGAATTTCTTAGGGATTTTTTAACAAGGTCCATGCAATATCTCTAGATATATTGTGAACTGAATGCTCTTCTACAGAATCAAATTGAAACTCGAACATCAAATCAGCGCCCCACGTGACCACTCCGCAGTCTCCCAAATTCACGCTTCGACCATGACTGGTGGATTCGGCCCCTTGGCCTCGTCTGCGCCCGACGGGTCCCGGTGGAAAGGACACGCGCGTGTCCTTGGCCCCTCCTACACCCTCCTCCCGACGCTGACCGTGGGCTTATTGGGCTTGCAAATATTCTGGAGCGTCGAAATGTCGTATGTGTCGCCGTACCTGCTATCGCTGGGCCTCTCTCCTCGCACGTCGCTTGTATTCCTCGCGGGCCCGCTCCCTGAGCTAGTTGTTCAGCCGCTGATCGGTGCGCTGGCGGACGGCAGCACGTCCCGCTGGGGCCACCGCTCGCCGTACATGTCCGGCGGGTGCCGCGAGCATGCTGCTGCTGGGATATACAAGGGCCGCCGCGACAGTCACCGCCTGGGCGTCCAGCGCCAATGAGAGGCTCACCGTGGCGCTCGCCGTGCTCACCATTTTTATTATCGATTTTGCGGCTAATGCTGGTGTGTTATCTACCTCCTCTGTATATAAAACGGTGCTGACACCCCTCAGTGAAAGCGACTGACCGCGCGCTGCTTGTGGATAGGCCCCCTCCATCTGGCCAGGCGGCGGGCAACGCGTGCGCGGCGCTCATGCTAGGCACGGGTTCTTTTACATTCCCTACACAAATGAACTAACCCCGTCCCAGCGCAACGCTCCCCTACCCACGCTACTCCCCTTCCTGCACGCCACCTCGAGGCCCTCGCGCCGCTCGTCTCCCTCCTCCTCGCATGCCACCTCGTCACCGCTCTCCTTGTGCGCGAGCGCGTGTTGCTCGGCGGGTGCGTCTTCCCGGCTTGTCCTACTACTCCATGTGCTGACTTTCCCGCATTCGTATTAGCTCCGCCAACAACAACCCCTTCCTCCTCACCATCCTGCGCGACATATGGTCTAACACGCGTACGCTGCCCGGGGTCATACGCCGCATAGTGAGTTTTGCCATTCCCTTCCCTTTCAATCACCACCTTTTCCTTAACACCACCTTATCATCATTTCCACTCCCTTTCCATCCCTCTCTTTCTCTTTTTCCTGCGTCGATCTGGTCGTATTTTGCGCGCTGGTCTTACTCCATGCGCCGGACTGGTGTCTTTCTCCCCGCGCTAGCCATGGTTCCTCGCATTCGATGCGCGCACCCCCATCCCTTGCGTTCCGCAATGAGGGACCGGTCTTCCTCTCTTTTTCTGGAGCTTGGCTTGGGCGCTGGGAGCACCACCGTGCCGGACGCGCGTCTGCTGCTGTAAAAGACCGACGCGCGTCTGCTTGCCAGGGATCCGCACCGAGCCTCTACTGCTCGCCGTTGGGCAGACATACCCAGCCCATGCCGAGTGACGCGCTGGTGTCCCAGCCAGCCGGGGCGGACCGCCCGGCCATGGTCGTTTTCGGTGGCGGCTGCTGGCTGGGGACCGGACGTGCTTGCTCCCCGCACTGTCGTCGTTGGAGTAGGTGGCGACGGGCGGACACACCTACGCCGCAGGCTCAAGTGGAGCGCTACGCGCCTGCTTAGGCATTTCCGTTGCCATCGTCGACTGCTGGCTCGGCTGGGCGCGCTTCGACTCCTTGTGACGGCGGCCGGCCTGTGGCCATGCTTGTGGTGCTCGTTGGTGCGCGCCTGCTGCCACTACCATTGACGCGCGCTACTGCCACTACCAGCCGGCGTCGCATTTCCATTGCCACCATCGACTGCGGGGGATTGGGACGCGCTTCCGCTCCGTGTATGCGTGCTGTCGACGGCGGCGTAGTATCGCGCTTCCGTTCCTGTTCGACACGCGCTGCTCGACGTCACGCTACTCCTGCTGCTCGACGGTGATGCTGATTGCGCCGCCGCTTGGCCTGTGGCATGCGTTTTCGGATGGGTTGGTACGGGGGTCGTGAAGAGGCGAGTGGATGGGTGCAAGGGGTGGCGCGGCATTCGTCATAGTCTGCATCTCGCGCCCGTCGTAGTCTGCATCGTCGCAGTCGTATCGAGCGGCGCGACGCGGGCCTTCGCGTCCTGTCCATGCTGCGTGTTGGTGACACCTGTGCGGTCCAGCCGGGTGGTGCTAGGGTCATGAAGAGGGCGCACTGTGAATGCGTCCGTGCGCAGGGCGCCGTGCGTCTGTCGCAGCCGTATCGCGCGGCGAGACGACGCGGGCCTCCACGTCCACTACATGCCGATGATGTGTGCAGGCCGGGGCGCCACGAGCAGCGATGAACGATGTGCAGGGGGAACGTCGTGTCGTTGTCGAGTTGCGAAAGACGCCAGCCACGTCCGCGCACTGCGTCGTTTTCTGCAACTTCCTTCCTGTATGTACTATGGATAGTTGCTGACGACCATTGCGTATAATGTATGATACAGTTTTTATGAGTCTTCGCCCGTCCCGTCCTCCCACCGGAATGTGAAATTATTAGATGGTATTTTGAGCTGGTTTATCGAAGGACCAATCAACTGGAATAAAAGTCGGTGGCGCTGGGGAGCGAGTGCGCCGTTACGAAAGAGCTGCACCGCACAAGGCACCCGTTCGACTAGGGCCCGATCCTAACTGCATCTCTCTTTTTTTTTTTCACCCGGCGAATTCATGCTTAACAAGAACGGTTGATATTGTTGCGATGCACTATTGTTGAATGCCCGCTCTGTTTGAATATTAATCTCAATGGCAAAGGAGATCAGGGACTTGGAGTTGACTTGGAGTTGACTTGTGGGATAGTGGCTGAATTTCGGAACGTCGTGTTGTTTTATTCATGGACCAATTATTTGGGATAAGGCTCGGAGGCGCTGAAGAGCGCGTCTGCATTTGCTTCGTCTGACCCTGAATCTGCTGCAGAAGGTGCCCGTTCGACTTAGGCCCGAGCCATGCATCAGGAGGGCAATTTTTTTTTTACCCGACAAATTCATGTGGCGTTGTCGGGATGCTTCGGTGGTGCGTTCTTGTTGAATGGTGGTTCGTCTGAATATTAGTCTCAATTTATATGTGAAATGGCAAGAAAATGGGATTTGAAGCGAATCGCGGGATATTAGGGGAATTTCGGAATTTCATGGTGCTTTATTCATGGACCAATTATTTGGGATAAGGCTCGGTAGCGCTGGGGAGCGCATCTGCATCTGTTGTGGCGAGCCCTTCAAAGTAATGCAGAAGATGCCCGTTCAACTCGGGTCTGAGCCATTACATTGGTTCTGCACTGGTTTTTTTTTTTGTCCTCTGATTATCCCTCCCTTGGACGGACAATAGGAATAAGCGTTGATGTCGGAAAGATATGAACATTTACCGCGCCTACTTAGGCGCCTGGGATGAACCAGGGCGTAGCGGCGCGGAAGAGGTGTGATGGGTTGAAATTCGGAGTCTCACATCACCCGCGAAGTTTCGTGGTGGTTTATCCGAGGACTAATTATTTGGGATGGGGCTCGGTGGCGGCGCTGGGGAGCGCGTCTGCACTCTGTTAATCGTCTTTACGATAATGCCGAATGTGCCCGTTCGACTCGGGTCTGAGTCATGTCTGATACCTGCTGTCTTTTTTTTTATTTTTTATTTGATGCCGCGAATATCTCTCCCTGGCTGCAATTTCATCAACCAGCAGGAAGAGCGAAAAAAATCTGGTGAGCCACTTCGGCACAGGTCGAGCGGTGGGTTGAATCTCCCGAAAAATAAAATCAGAGCTGAAATGCGTGACTGGTTTAAGCAAAGACCAATTGTGTGCTACAAGGCTTGGTAGCGCTGGGAGCGCGTCTGCCTCTGCTGCAGTATCCACCATCTTGTAATGCAGAAGAAGCCCGTTCAACTCGGGCCTGAGCCATAGCAACTCCGCTGAGTCCCTTTTTTTTGGTTGCCGTGAATTTCCTTGGTTGCACGTCCCCCCCCCCAGCAGGAAGTTTGAGTTCCAAAAAAATACTGGCCCAAGTGGGGTAAGAATGTATTTATTTACCTTGGTGCCGGAGGTACCACTGGTTGAAGCCTGGGTTGAATCCCCCAGAAGATAAATTAGAAGTGGAATGTGAGGTGGTTTATCGAAGCACTAAATAGGTGGTACAAGGCTTGGTAGCGCTGGGAGCGCGTCTGTATCTGCTATCGACTTTCTTTGTCCTGGACGAATGCAGAAGGTGCCCGTTCGACTCGGGCCCGAGCCATGCGGCCGTCGGAATACCAGTTTTTTTGTCCTAGATATCTCCCCGGCTTCCCTTTTCAAAATTCACACAAGAGCACAAATGAAAGAATATTCCGGCCCCTGAAAAGAAGAAATTGATTCGCACAGGCTGAACTTTGAGCGAAATAGGCACTTCGTAGACCCGGGGCACAGGTTGGTCGAACAATATAATAGCTGCTCTGTGTCAGTGAACTGTGTAATTTTGTGTTCAATTTGTGTTGGCTTATTCACGGACTAGATAGGTGGGATAGGGCTCGGTGGCGCTGAGGAGCGCACCTGCATCCCGTGGGTTCTGTTTCGTGACTTCCCGTAATGCAGAAGGTGCCCGTTTGACTCGGGCCTGAGCCACTAGTAAGCTGTTTGTAGGTGAGTTTTTTTCCCCGGGTTTGATATTCCTTGAAAAATTCTTAACAAGGTCCATGCAATGTCTCCAGATATATTGTGAACTGAATGGTGTTCTACAGAATCAAATTCAATATTGAACTCGAACTGTACTGCTTTATCCAAGGGACGGCTATGTGGAATAAGGCTCGGTAGCGCTGGGGAACGCATCTGCATCTGTTGTCTGGACTCTGGAGTGGGTTGTCGTTGACGTAATGCAGAAAGTACCCGTTCGACTCGTGTCTGAGCCATATCTTGGGTGATTTGCGATCTTTTTATTTTATTTCAAAGGTCTTTTTTTTGATGCCGCAAATATCTCTCCC